GTGGTGGTAGTGGTGGTAGTGGTGGTAGTGGTGGTAGTGGTGGTAGTGGTGGTAGTAGTAGTAGTAGTAGTAGTAGCGGTGGTGGCGGTGGCGGTGGTGCTAGAAGTAGTAGCAGAAGTAGAAGTAGTGGCAGTAGTAGTGGCATGTGAGTGGGCCGGTGGTTTTTTGAGGGGATACAAACCTATGAATGAAGTGGGTATCGTTTGGTATCGTTTTTTGGTATCAGTCTAAACCCATAATTGTTTCCCATCGAAGAAAGAGAAGGGAACATGAGCAAAAGCAAAATGGAATGCCCAACTAGCATGGCAAACCATATGAAAAAAAAAAACTTGACATAGACTGTCTCGAGTGTCAACAGTGTCAATAAATAGGCAAAGATAGATTCCAAAATGTGTACCGTCACAAGGCTAGGTATCGTTTTTGGGATTGGTATCGTTTTTTCAAGGAAAATGCGAATTGCTCATTTTTGTAGAAACGTGAGTGCCGACCTTTAGCACTTTGCAGAGTTATAAGTTAATATGTTCATTTCTTTGGGCAGTGTGGCAGTGTGTGGTTTGTGCTTGAAGCACATTTACGAACATCATATGATTTCATGCCAACTTCAGTTACGGATTCGGTCTCACATCTGGGTGGACCACCTTAGGCCGCAAACTAAGGACCACCTTAAGGTCCTTAGGTGCAGTGGAGCCGGGCATCGGGCCCATCGGGCCCCGAACCGCGCAAACCCCGCCTTGGTACACTCGATATCCCAAGCGAAGATCCTCAAGGCTGGCTTCTTCTGCCTCAAAACATCCCCAATATCGTTGGGGCCTCTTTTGCAGCACTGGAAGATATCTGTCAATCCGATTGAATCCCAGAATCCTCTACAAGCGTTGGATGGCCCATGAGCCCATGGGAAGAGCCCATGGGAAGCTCCGGTGAATTCGTCTATGCTGCGCAGGTGTATGGATGTGCGAGTCTATCCTGCTAAGGGGCCTTCACCAAACTCATGAGCCATAGAGGTTTCGAGATCAGGAAAACCATCCCTGTCTATCCGTCCAAAACAAGGTTTGGGCACCAGTTCAGACAAACAAAGAAACTAAAACATGCTCAAAAAAAAACGATCTGTACAATTACAGTGTGGCACTGCTGAAATACACAACCTCAAAGCTCACGTGCAAAGAAAAATGGACCTGCAGGACCTCTTGGCCAAGCCTATGCAGGTCAGACGTGCCAATTCTGGAATACGCTGGAATCCTAAACAAAGCTAGTGGGTGGGAACAGAACGAAAGTGTAGCAGTGCAGCATGTTCCAGATGGTGTTTTTTTTTCCCCGTGGAATACCATCAAGAACCCGGCTCACGGCTCACAGCTCTGCACAGCTCTCATGATCTTTGACCCTCTCCGACAGGTGGCATATCCAGTTCTGTCACCTTGCACTGGGTATCGTAGAGATCTTCCATGCTGGTGGCCATCAGATTGCGAGTCACCTCAGTTTTCGCTGAGGCGGAAACCCGAGAGCACAATGTAACACATGGGACGCGGAATCTCTCGTGGGGAATCACGTGGAGTCCTTCTCTTCAAAATAAAACGGGTGCGGGTGCACATGCCCCAAAACTGGTGGACGTTCCCGAAATCAGTCATCACTTGAACTGTTGGCATCTACAAGTTGCTCACTGCCGACTCCTTGGTCAGTAAGCGAGCGGCATCATACCACTTCCCAACGTTGATCTTGTTGTCAATGCAAACCTCAATGGAGGTGGTAACATGAATAAACTCAGCACACCAACTCGACTCAACAGGTTTCGACATCCTACGAACACCAAGGCTGTGACGCGATTGACATAAGCCACATCATGTTCGTAGAGCTCCTGCAAGCAGCTTGACAACTAGTTCCTGGTTCTTGAACTAGTTCCCGGGGAACTCCATGGTGTTGGCCCCCCGAAATCCACGGATTTCTGGGATTTCTCGATCCCGCTTCAATCGGATCCGCCCCTCCGGTCCTCGATGTCATCCATGGCGGAGCCCGTGGACTTCTGGGGGCTGTCGAAGCTCAAAGGGTCAGGGCTCCTGACGTGGGGTCACACGGACCTACGAGTAACAAGTGCATCGCTACTAGTAACAAGAAGCTACTAGTAACCCTGGAATCTCCAGGATGTGAAATGACAAATCACGAATCCCTTCTCTCAACTATAGTGCACAGTCCCCGTTCCCAGCCGCTGTCACTTTGTGAGCATCAACAGTTGTTCGATCCTGCAGGCACCGAAATGATGTTAATACGGTAGGACGCTACGATCGGGGCTCCTGGCCTTACTACTAGGAGCAAGGACTATTTGGGTGGCTTCTCCCAAACATCCCCATACTCTCCAGACTACACTATCAACAGCATGTGCTCTGGACTCAATTTCTTGTTGGTCTTCAGACTGCTTTCACTTCATGTGGATCTTGGCCCGCAAATATTTCACTCCTGGATTCATAAATCTAAAATCTAGAGCGAAAGGGAGGGGGAGATATACACGGCCACTCACTAATCCGGGACGTCTGTTATTTGTACAGATTATAGAGTAAATGATTTTCCTCTACCAACAGGTGTCTTTCCACCTGAACGACAATGAAAAATAAAGCTACACAACACATACCTTTATGCTTCCTTTTGCTGCTGCCTGTTGCCGAGCAGTTTTCGACAACATTGGCCGAAGGATGCTCAAGTCGAAGGGCCCTTCTTGGGCCGGCAAGCCTTTGTACATGGCAGTGACTCAAAGGAAAGGTGGACCACCCAGTCTGCTGGGTCCCTTTTGCTTGGAGCCACTCACCCAGTTGTGCCCGACCCAAAAGGAACCTTTTCTAAGTCAGACGGGTTCCTTGAATGCAGTTTTGTCAAGGGTGGAAATGCAAAGAAAAGGTTCCTGCACAAGGTCAAGGCCAGTCAGGGTGTTTCATGATTTTTTCCAATGGTCTTGGATGTCTTGGTAACTAAAAGACTTCAAGCATTGTAGGTATCAACCACTCAAAAAAAAAAACTACCTTCAACTTCCTCATGGGCCTTTGCCTCGAATCACCCCCGCTGTGACGCAGCACTGACGACGTAAGTTGCTCCAAGTCCACGTACCAATTTTCCACGTCCACCGGGAGATCATCTTCATCTCCGCCATTTTCCTCCTGGATCGACTCATCAGCAGTGAGCAGAGAACTGGAGGTGGTTGACGAAGGTTTTGGGCCTTCTGCGCCACGGAGGAACCGTCGGTGGATGGGTTTTGTGGAGGATCACCATCCCTCCCAAATACTGTAATTACAATCTATATCCTACTACGTACATTATGCTATATATATATATACATTGAATCTCCCAGCACATTACCAGGGCTGGAACAGTGGCCGACAGAGTAGTGGCCACCGCAAAAAAAACAAGGTCCTCCGCGGTAGCACCCCGAAGAAACTGCTGGTCCAGGCTGGTCCCAAATCCACAAGTACCGAGTCCAAACAAACTGCTGAAGGAAAAGAAACAGGGTGTTCGTGCACGTGTGGATCATTCTTGCATCCGGCAATTTCTCTCAATCAGAGATTGATATTGAGATGTGAGATTTGTATATGAACTTCGAAAATCCTAAATCCTAACTTCTAAGTAAGCATCACCCTTGGTCGGTAGAAGGGTGCCCAATCAAGCGAATCAAGCTGGAAAGTATCTCGATGATGACTTAACCAAAAAAAGACACATACAAAATCGCAAAAGGTGCCATTCACGTCCTGCTCGGTAGTATCCTTGCGACGCATCTTGATGCTCTCTCATGGGTCTGGCTTGGTACTTGATCAGCATGCTGAAAGTTGAGGAAGAAGTTGCTACCTCAAATGTGATCTGCGCTTCGGACCCCCAACCAATGCACTTCATCTTTTGCCTGTGGCTGTCCCCCTGCGTATTGACTTTTGGTACGACTCAGTCGGCTCTGAGATGGCAGGTACACCTGCGCCTGCAGATCTTTATGCACCACGAGGAAAACACTTTCGGGGGCTGTCCACGGATCTGGCCATGGTGTCAGCTTGTGGAAGGTCCTCCCGACAAGCTCCAAAGTGAGTAGTGGACTGTCAGGCATGTCAACCAACCTACTGTACCACAATTTGGGGATTCAGGTTTAGAATAGTTTTGACACCTAGCCATCGCTGTGTCTTGATCAGGTCTGATGTGGCCAGCGGAGACCTGCCACTGCCACAGAATGCCGTCATGGACCTGCCTCTGCTCTCAAGCTGGCAGTCTGCCAGTCTCTTTCATGCCAAGACAGCTTGCCAACTGGAGGAAATGGTAGGCCTCATGCCTGAACAAAGTTGGGTCATTGATTATATCATCTGTATCTGTTGACTTTGTCATCTTCTCAACAACTTCGCTCTGACAGGTTCCCATTCTCCCAGTTCCCCGTAAACACTGAGACCCCCCTTCCACCACAGAAACCTCCAACCCACTTTCATCGAGCATATAAAGAATCAACCACTCTGTCAGATGTCCCTGCCAAGTGAAACGGCCACAGGACCCACAATCATCTCTTCTTAGATGCGAAGCCAACTCACAGAAGAGCGCCACACTCTTCAGGAGGCAATCCTTTGGGCGATCTGAACGCAAGAGAACCTGCCACAGTCGAAAGCGCATCTGGGTTGATTGCGCACTGTGAGGAGAAATGTCTTGGGGGATCATGTAATTTATCGTTATCCTTCCGAAATTATGTCCCCTATTGAGGGGGGGTCTACAGTCTACATCTTGGAAAGGATATCCTCCTCATCCAACGGAACCTATATAAACATGTTTGAACCAATCCTGCGACCCAGCCTCAGTGATGAAGTTGCTATCTTCCCCATCAGCAGAGAGTTTGCAGAAGTGCTCGGCATGGAAGAATGGGAGGCCGTAGTGCTTATAAAGCTTCGGCTTGTAGTTCTTAGATCGTAGTCTTTTGAAACGGAAATACATGCAAGAAGCTTTAGCATGCTTTAGCAACATCCTGTACTTTCTTTGGAATGCAATCACTTTGTGCACAGTTGCTGCTACTGAGCATTTAATCCTGCTCCACACTTCTGCCACTATTGTCAGCGAACAACTTTCCGCTTCATTGCAAGTCCTAGTGTGAGGCGAAGCACTTGAATGCCACAAATAGGCCCTGCTGGGTTGATATGGCTTCATCCCAGACCCCCCAGGGGCCATTCTTAAACCATGGCAACCAAACGCACTCTGTCAGGTGTGACTCGTTTTTCCCCCCCCGGAAACCATCGAAACCTTCGATGGACTGTCGATCCATGGCTCTGCGGAGGGGATGAAGTGGATCACCGGCATCTTATAGAAAAGCTCCTCCGGACGGTGATCGACCTGAAGCCGCAGGACATGCGGCAGAAAAGAGCAGAAAAGGGCCGGTATAGAAGACAGGCTGAAAAGGCCTCAGTACGAAGTAGTAGCTTAGCTTCCATGAATTCTTGGATCTGTTTGTTGAAACGAGGTCGATCTGAACTTTGCTTCATCAGATTTTTGTCCGATCCATCACTTTCACCCTGTGACTGGCCACCAATCAAATCCCAGCCACCAATCTTGCTCTTTTCCGCTCCCATGATGCACCCTTCAGGAAAATACCCACAACATAGAGCCCAGAGGCAGGGTGGTCCTGGAAAGCAGCCGACGCATAATCATTTTGAGACTGAACTAACATCATCCAACAAGGCTAGATTCCCAATTTTGACACACTAGAATGACTCACTGTGAATCTGTAATTTGTTCACTCCCAAATAAAAAAATAAATAGATTATAGATGCCATATAGATGCCTCGATTCCATTCACGTCGCGAGGAACATGTTCCAGAATGGCAGGAATTACTTTGCCGGTCTTTCAGCCCTTCCAAGTCAAAATGACAGTAGGTTTGGCAAGCCAACCTGTGACATGGAAAAAGGTCCGAGTCTGAACTGTCCCCACATCCCACACTTGAACGTCCTGGACATCTTCCTCTTCCTCGATCCGATCGAGGACCTGACAATGTTCTGGATATGCGAGCGAACATTTAGGTGCAACTCTTACACCTCGTGTAAGCGTGGGTGGCTATCCAGCTAGCTCTGATGCCGCCATGGTTGGAAATCTGGGAACAGTTAATTTGAGTGTGCTGTTTCAACACACAACACTGCACACGCATGAAATGAGAACTTGAACAGTGGAAACAATATGCCATGAACCTTGGGGATGGGTGGGTTGCTGACTATGCATATTGAAAGCATGTGGTCGGATATAGTGACAAATGATAACTCATTTCCCGAACAAAAATCGCTGGCCTTATGCTTGAAGCTGTAGGAGTCCAACGATATGTTTTCTTTCCTGAGGGCAACTTGATGACTCCAAGGCCCCCCACTTGCATGTGCTCAGCACGCCGTGCGTGAGACTTTAAGTGAATGCACGCATGGCGCGTGCACATGACGAATTGGGACAAATCCAGACGTTCCCATTACACAGGAACCAATGTCGAGCCTCCGTCTGTGCGGCCAAGTTTCTGAGCTGCTACTCGAAGATGTGAAAGCAACAGTAACCGCGGTCGCCAAAACAAATCCAGGCGGTAACACAACCTTCGCAGCGCAAGGCTGGGCCCAATCGAATCTGTCATGCACAAGGCCAACCAAACTGACCAAACTGTTGTAATCAAATACCAAGTGATGAAGTTTGGCATAGCTTGGCGTCCTGCCCAAAAGGGACAGTATTTGTTTTTTCCGAGGCGCGGCTCGTGGCCCCGTTGGCCCCATGCGGCTTCCAGCCACCTGGGCAGGAAGCCGAAGAGCCAGCCGGTGAAGATGGTGATGAACAGTGGGTCATGGTGATCATCATGGGTGATCATGGTGATGGTCATGTGAGTTCACACCTCAAATGCTTGACGATTTGTAAGCTGGCAGGGCTGAAGAGTTGATCATGGGGAGTATTGGTGGTGACACCTAAAACGCCACTGCCACGGGCCCTACTTAGTTGCACGTTTTTTTTGATGGATGCTCTGCCTAAGATGGTCAACGAATACCATCGACTCTGGATAGTGTAAATCTGCGTGTGAATCATGTTCATCCGGCCAAATTGCCGACAAATGCATTGTTTCGTCCCCTGCCAACAGCAAGTTTCACTGGTGTTCTTTGCCGTCTTGTCCCAGCAGTCCAAAATATAGAAAAAGATAGTAACTAGTACTGGTACTTACAGTAGATAGCATGATGCTCAACAGTGAATGCTGTTTGACAATGGAACAAAACGTGTAGTATTCCTTTTTTTCACAAGACTCCTCTACATCAACATATGAGATTCTCCAAAGCTTCACACAGCTGCGGGTCAATGGACAAAGAGGTTCCCATGTAATGTCAAAGACCTATACACGACTGGCAGGAGACAACCCGAGAGCTTTCTTAAGCCAGGCCCCCCCAAATCTGCTGGACGAACACAAAGAACTTTGGCCAAACCAAACCAACATATTGACCGCTGAAGCCCCAATTCAAGTGGCTCTTGCAATCAAGTCGTCCAAACCAAGCCGTCTGGGGCTCTGGCTGCGCGCGGATCTTCAAACCAATGAGCCAAACGGAGAGAGGCCTCGATTTCACATGACCAAAATGGTTGAAGCAACCGTCAGGTATCCAACTTAGCAAAAGCCATGCAACACCAGAACATGAATAGTCATGAATCATCATATATATATATATACACACACACAGTCCATATACAGTCCATAGAACTAAAAAGGCGGTGGCGATAACAACTATATACACAGAGGAAAGTGTGCAATTCCTACTCCTAGCCAACTCTGCTATGCACCTTCCCCAGGAAGTGCCGTCTGAACATCCTTCTTCTTTTCAATGGCCGCGCTACGCCCGTCCCCTATCAATCGTCTTCGTCAATCCTTGGACTGTCCTGTCCACGCAGCAGCTCTGCCACGTGCAAATGGCCATTAAGGAGTGCTGAATACAAAGCTGTACAACCATCTGACTCGGTCAAACTTGCGTCTGCCTCGTGTTCCAATAACAGCCGCACAAGGTCGGCATGGCCAGAGCTGGCGGCAAAATGTAAGGCTGTGCAATAGCCATCTGAAGCTTGGTCCACCTGTGCGCGATGTTCTAGTAACTGGCGCGCAATTTCACAGTAGCCATGAAGAGCCGCAAAATGCAAAGGAGTCGAACCACTGTCTGTCTCAGCTTTGTCTTTGTCAGCGTGAGCTTCCAACAATACTCGAACAACATCCAGATGCCCACGATGTGCTGCAAAATGCAAAGCTGCGCGCCCACTGTCTATGGCAGCCGTGTCTTTGTCAGCACCATGGTCCAGCAGCAAACGCACAATTTCTGAATGTCCGTGAAGAGCAGCAAAATGCAGCGCCACGAACCCACCCTCGGAATGTGGAACATGCTGGTCAGCACCTTGATCCAGCAACAAGGCTGCAACTTCAACAGAGCCACTGCTGGCTGCAAGATGCAAAGGTGTCCAGCCACTACCTATGGTCAGTTGGTCTTTGTCGGCACCACTCTCCAACAACAAGCGAACGACTTCAGAGTGTCCAAAATGAGCAGCAAAGTGCAAGGCTGCAAGGCCACGCCGAAGGGGCTCTGCTCTGTTTACTTCAGCACCTGCCATGAGCAACAAACGTACCACTGGAGAATGACCAGCACTACTTGCATGAATCAAAGCAGTGCGACCAGCTTCGTCGCTGGTATCCGGCTGATGAGGCCGTTGGAGCATTCGTTCAACTTCGTTGATCCAATTTCTTCTGCAAGCATGGAGAAACTGGATGTCTTGCTCGGCTTCAGCTGGCCAAAAGTCTAAGATTACCAGTTGCAGACTCAGTGGCAATACCAAAATCTCATCATCTTGCACTTCAGCATTATGCAACAAGAGCTTCTGCCGAAACCTGGAGTACCCAATTTGGTTTGCGAGGTATTCCTTCAAAGCTCTCACCCGTGGGTTGATTCCGAGCTGGTTGCTGAACTCCTCCACATCGAGTGCAAGTACAGCGTTTCCAGAGGCTGCCAGGTGGACATGTAGCATCAAGTTTTGCCAAATTCACATGGCACGAATCCCATGAGTGGGGAGAGCTGGTGTGATGCACTTCTCAGGTGTAGCAGAATCAGGTCGGTCCCAAAAGAATACCGTTAAGATTTGGGTGGGATATGGTGGGATATAATAGGATACTGCTTTCCTCATGTTTGGCAGTGGCCAAATAAATAAGATTGGAGGTTCTCACAACAAAAATCAATAGATTGCAGTGGTAAGGAGCATCAACCACCTTGCAGCTTCTCAGGTGAACAAAACAATCCACGTGCAAAAACCTGTACCCATAGCTGTGGGCCCAGCTTTGAATTGAAGACAACCCAAACACAACAATCAAGGCTCCTTGCAGTATTACAAGACATGCAATGAGATTCAAAGGCATACTGATACTCACTTCCTGGAATGTCATCCCCGATCACCCTTATGTTTTATCATGTTTTATCTAGTCATCAAAGGGTAAGCACTTTACTCAAAATGCCCAGAGCACATCCTGATACCGTGATTCTTGAAAACGAAACCTCCAAATGCCCATGCAACTGAACCATCCAGTGCGTATGTAGAATGGTCAGTATAGCCATTTCATGCCATTTTCACATTTCACATTGGAGTCTTTTCGTGAGTTCCATATGCAGTTTGTTCAACGCTCTTTCATGGTCTTTCTTTAAATCTAGTTTTGCTCATCTCCTCTCAAAGTAAGCAGCACCCCACAAACAGAGGTATTGTTTCCTTTCTATATTTTTTTTGGTTCAATAGTTTCTTTCCAATAAGATCCAATAAGTGATGAACACAATGTTCAACCATGTTCAAACCCAGTTTGCGGTGTGTTTCCCCATGCAACAGTCTTTCTTCCTCTCTCAGGCTTCGACCTGCAGGATGGGAACGACCTCTTCTGCCACCGTGAAGGCACCGCATTGGCCCGAATACATTGCAAGACCTGCGGAGAAGCTCTTCTCTTTGGGAAGGTCGTCTTTGGGCCCGAAACACCGTACTGCAAGCCTTTGTCCTCAGCCTCGCTCCTTTTAACCGCCCGTTGTCCATCGGAACGCGTGACATCCATGGCACGCCATGACGGCCTCTTCCATCTCACCCATGAAGTCGATCTTGGCGACCCTAAGGGCCAGCCACATGGATGGATGGGTAGATGAAACCATGCTATGCAAGTGAATAGAAAGTAGATGCTACCAACCAACATCTAAATAATCAAGTATGAGAGTGTATACAGTACCAAACATGAACTTGGGGCTTTCCAGCTCTCAGCAACATGCAAGAAAACAATATGAATAAATATATGAAGAAATACATGGGTTCATAGCGAATCCCCTGCATCGCTCTCTGCGCAGGTCGTCTCACCGCCCCTCCACCCCACTCTTTTCAGCTAGGCAACAGCATGTCGCGCAAGCGCATCAAATCCTTGCGCACAAGTGTTGCCAAGGATCTCAGCAGCTGTAGCTCCTGAAACGCCAAGTTTCTGGGGAGCTGTGTGTTGGAGTCAAGACTCAGTCGTTAGACGTTCCAAGCATGCGTTCATCTGAAAACTCTACCTTCCGAAGTGACGATTAGCATCATTAGCACATGTTGAAAGTAACAACCGCACTCAAGAGTGCCAGGTGAATTCCCCAACTCCAATATGTTCTCCAAAGATACGGAATTCTTAGTCATCGTCGCATCAAACTAGGTATACGAACCATAGATGGTCGCGTGTTTTTTGTGCTCTTATACATGATTCCTTTGCTTCAGTAACTTCAGAATTCTAGGGCCACTGGGGAGAAAATCGACTGTCTAAAGGGTATGAATCGGTATGAATGAATACGGCCCCTGACAGGGGAGAAGAAGAAAGTGTCCAAAACAGCACAGCCATCGGCGCCTGCTCCAACTACCCATCGACGTCGTCCAGGTGTGTTGACTTTTGGAAGACGTTCTTCTCTTCCATGTGGCCAACCACAGGAAACTCCCAGAGATGCTCTATTATTCAAATGGAATTCAGTAATTCACGAATAGAATATCACCCCAGATGTAATTTCAATGTTGGCGCAGTTGCCATATATATATATTATATAAATATATTAATCTGTTTCATCAGCATCGTGAAATTAAAAAAACCTGTCCACCGACCAGCTGTGCCCTGCGACCGCGCTCAGCGACGCGCTCGTCGGCGCGCGCTACAATCGCTGGCGCCTCTCGAAGCACTCGGACCACAGGGGGATCTCCACTGAAGAGGTCCTTCACAGCTGGATTCATTGAAAGGCTACTATGATCTGGCATAGATCATAGATCTTATCCTAGTGATGTAGACTGTAGAGCTATATATAGATATACAAAGCTTTGACAAGTGCAAGCAACAACTTTATTTGTCTGGATGATGCACATAAGCCAAACCCTGTCAATCCAAATCCGGGTCTTGAACCTGTCACAGCAGTACCCGCCTGAGAGCGTTCCATGCTCCTTCTGCTGCGGGTTTTCAGCGGCTGGTCCTGCGCATGACTTTCTTCACAATAAAACATCTGGAGCGGCCACCAAATGAACAGACTGCCAAGCATCAAGCCATGGGGTTTGTATTGAATTGTTGGGAGTTCTTGGAAACCCTCCTGTCTTGAGAAGCATTCCATGCTACTGTTTGTACGGTTTGCACAAGTGAGCACAACTAAAATCAGGACTGAGAATATACGTTTAAATCATCAAATCCGACTAGGAATCACGTGATGGTAGGATTGTTTCAGCCCATCTTCACTGACTCAGCATGCACGTGAATAACACTGACCATTGACCCTCCATGCTTGCTAATGTGCAGTTTGACACTCCGGGGCTCTTGACACCTGCAGACCGAGACTCAAGCAATACCGTTTTTCACCATGATCATTGCATAGGACACAAACGATCATAATTGCCTTGGTGTTTGGGTGGTCCTTCACTAGCACATGTCAGAATTTGGCGCAAGGGTAACTGCGTGACATGGGTCATAGAAATTTATTCCTGAGTGAAAAAAATACACCAACAACAACACTCTAACAGCATTTATACAATATCACAATATCATAAGTCGTTTTCTACATGTGCCAAAATACCTGTGAGACAAATCCCACTGTTGGTTGTTATCCAAGATTTGCCAAACCCTGCACAACACATCTGTAATCAATCTGACCAAAGATGATCGGTGACATAAACGTCAATAATGCTGTAGAGTACTTCGAGTCTCAACTAATATTTACGCCCCAACGCTGGCTATGTAAAGCTTGCACCTGTGCAACATGGTACATCACTGAGAAGTCATTGGTTTATGATCATATACTGTATATATATAAAGACTTCGATCCGCTCGCTCAGTTTTTT